CCGTTTTGGACGCAGTGGAAGCCCAAAAGGCGAACACGCCAAAAATATAAGTTCGCCCATCGGAAATCGACGATGTTTGCTTATTGGGGCTCTCTCGGGGTGCCTCTTGGGGCGTCTTCGGGGCCTTCGGGGGCCTTCTTGGCGTCATGGGAGTCGTCTTGAAAGGCGTCTGGAACCATCGCTGCGGCCTCCCGGGGCCTCCCTGCAACCTCTTGGGGCCCTGTTGGCCCAGGTCACAAGGAAAATTACGCCCTGGCCCCGTATGTGTGGTCGTGGTGCCGGCCCCTGGCCCCCGGGCCCTCGGAAACGAGCCCACGACGCGAAATCAATATCGAAGATGGGGCCGAGTGCTCCCAGAGACCTCCGGGGTCGAGTGTCCCTTCCTTTCCCTCCTCTTATCCCTCCTCCTTCTGTCCCTCCTCTCCTTCTGCATGTCCTCCTCGTCTCCCGCATATTCCGGCTCGCACCTCGAACGGGTCGTGCCGAACAGGGACTTCAACCGACGGCCCCTGGCAATGTTCGCATCCGATCCGCCCGAGTCAGCACACCCCTGACACGGGTCTTGGCCTACACAGAGAGAAGGTTCGCATGGCATCTTGGATGCCTCTCTCGCCGGCGCATTAGAACCAAGTAATGAGCCTCTTGGGGGCCTCTTGGAGGCCTCCTGGGTGCGTCTTGGGGTGCTTTGGGGGGCCTCTTGGGGCCTCTGGGGGGCCTATCGGCTCGTCCTGGGGGCTCTTGGGACCGAAAGCTCGGAAATGGAACGTGGCTGTCTTCTTCTGGGACCCCTCTCGGGCGCTTCTTGGGCTTCTTTTGGGCCGTCTTGGAGATTTCTTGGGGGCCTCCTAGGCTGTTTCGGGGGGCCTCTTGGGCCGTCTTGGACGCGGTGACAGCCCAAGAGGCGAGCATGCGAAACATATACGTTTCCCCATAGGAATGGAAGGATTTTAGTTTCTTGGGGCTCTCTTTGGGTGCCTCTTGGAGCATCTTGGGGTGCTTTGGGGGGCCTGCTTGGGGCCTCTTGGGGGCGTATCGGCCCCTCCTGGGATCTCTTGGGGCCGAAACCTCGGAATTCGAGAGTGGCTTTCTTGCTCTGGGACTCCTCTCGGGCGCGTCTTGGGGCTCTCTTGGGCCGTCTTGGGGGCCCATCGGGCCGTCCTGGGCTTCTCGTGGCCAGTCTTGGAGCTCTTTGGGGGGCCTCCTAGGCCGTCTTGGGAACCCCTTGGGCCGTCTTGGACGCGATGACAGCCCAACAGGCGAACATACGAAACATATACGTTTTCCCACAGGAATGGGACGATGCTTGCTTCTTGGAGCTCTCTTGGGGTGCCTCTTGGAGCGTCTTGGGGTGCTTTTGGGAGCCTTCCGGGCGCTTCTTGGGGGCTTCTCGGCGCCTCCTGGAGTCACTTGGGGTCGAAAGCTTGGAATTCGATGGTGGCTTTCCTCCTCTGGGGCCCTCTCGGGCTCGTCTTGGGGACTCTCTTGGGCCGTCTTGGGCCCTTCGTGGGCCGTCCTGGAGCTTTCTGGGGCTGTATTGGGGCCCTCTGGGGCGCGTCCTGGGCCGTATTGGGGCGGTCTTGGGAGCTTCTGAGGTCGTCAAGCACGGACCGACAGCGAAAACAAGCAATATGTTAAACATATACGTTTTACGAAGGGCATGGGGCTATTTTGGCCCCTTGGCGCTCTCTTTGGGGCCCTATTGGGGGTCGCTTGGGGTGTCTTTGGGGCTTCTGAAGCCGCCTTGGAGGCCATATTGGGCGTCTGGGAGCGACCTTCGGGCGTCCCGGGTCTGTTCTGGAGCCTCTTGGGGCCTCCTTGGCGCCTTCTGGCGGCCTTCTGTGAGGCCCCGGGGCTCCCCGAGGGCCCCGGAGACCACATTTGTGGTAGCGGCGCCGGCCCCAGGCGCCGGGACCCGGTGCGCCGTATATGTATGTATACATACATACATACATACATACATACATACATACATACATACATACATACATACATACATATATAAATATATATGTGTGTGGCGCGTGGTTCTAGTATATACATGTGTGTGCGTGCGTGCGTGCGTGCGTGCGTGCGTGCGTGCGTGCGTGCGTGTGTGTGTGTGTGTGTGCGTGCGTGCGTGCGTGCGTGCGTGCGTGTGTGTGTGTGTGTGTGTGTGTGTGTGTGCGTGTGCGTGCTGCGTGCGTGCGTGCGTGCGTGCGTGCGTGCGTGCGTGTGTGTGTGTGTGTGTGTGTGTGTGTGCGTGTGTGTGTGTGTGTGTGTGCGTGCGTGTGTGTGTGTGTGTGTGCGTGTGTGTGCGTGTGTGTGTGCGTGTGTTAAGTGTTCGATGCCATCTTTCACAACGGAGCGTTGTGCAGGCAGAGGCAAAGGCCGGGCGCACCCGCACCCGGGCTCGGAGGCTTCGGCCCACGTGGCCTGCCCTCCCTGCGCGCTGGTGTGCCGGCGCCCGGACGTTGCCTTGGCGCGGCCGTCGCGCCCTGTGCGGCGGCTGGGCGTGACGAGCCTCCCGCGTGCCTTGGTGGCGCTGCAGCGCGCGCCCCCCCCCCCCCTCTCCCTCCTCCCCCTCCTCTCCTCCTCCTCCCCCTCCTCCCCCTCCTCCTCCTCCTCCCCCTCCTCCCCTCCCCCTCCCCTCCTCCTCCTCCCCCCTCCCCCTCCTCCTCCTCCTCCTCCTCCTCCTCCTCCTCCTCCTCCTCCTCCTCCTCCTCCTCCTCCTCCTCCTCCTCCTCCTCCTCCTCCTCGTGGGAACGTGAGAGGGGGCCAGTCTTCTCAAAAGGCGGCGGGGTTTCGCAAAGGGCGGGGGGTGTCTGTGGAGCCCACAGAGATCGCTGCGTCTTTCCTCCTCCCTCCGCCCTCCTTGGTGGCCACCCAGCTCGAGCGCACGCGAATCCATCGAGCTGCAGTCACGGAGAGGCGCAGACGGCGCCGAGCCCCTGGCACCTCGAGGCCGTGATGTGGATGTGGCCAAGCGAGCGATCGCATGCGCTACTCTGACGCGAGACCACGACCGTGCTCGCTGAAGGCAGAAGCGGTTCCAGATTAGCCCTGCGAACTTCTGAGAAAGCCTGCACTTTGTGGGCCCCGGAAACGGCAAGGCAGTTTTTTCTCCGTTTCCACAAAACAAATCCCCTTGAAAATGGAAACGGCAACAAAAACGGCGACCGGAAACGGGCAGGACTGGAACCAGAGCCGGAACCGGTCAAAACACGGCGACGGCACCGGTATAAAAACGGCGTCGGAACCAGCAAAAAAACGGCAAAACGGAACCGGTAACATAACGGCCCTGTCGTTTCTAGGGCCCACTAAGAGCCTGCCTTCCCTCGCGTCCCCCCCCCCCCCAAGGCGCGCCGCTGAAGCCTCCGGCGCCCAGACATCTGCTGCGATGGCTCGGGCCTGCGGGGCGCACCCTGCATCACCTCGGGCCTGGCCCCCTACAGGGGGAGGTTGGACGAAACACGGAAGACAGCCGACAAATGCTCCAACATGGTCAAAAGCAGTAAAATAAACTCGTCCGCCGATCCGGCGTGTGATTGAAGGGGGTGGGTGGGCCGGGGTGGCTCTGCCGGGGTAGGGGGGGGGGGGGGCTCCCTTAGGAAAACCTACATTTTTAGCATGTTCGCCTCTTGGGCCTTCACAGTGTCCAAAACGGCTCAAGGGGCCCTCAAAAAGGCTCCAAGACGGCCTAAGAAGGGCTTACGCAGGCCCAGGAGGCCCCCAAGACGGCGCAAGAGGGCTCCAGGACGGGCCCAAGAGGCGCCCAAAAGGGCTCCAAGACGGCCCAAGAAGGGCCCAAGACGGCCCAGAAGGCCCCCAGGAGGCCCCAAGACGCCCCCAAGAGGCCCCAAAAGGCCCCAACTGGCCCCCAAGGACCCCCCAAAGGCCCCCAAGAAGCTCAAAAGCTGCCTCAACATCAGCTTCATCATCATCATCATCATCATCATCATCATCATCATCATCATCATCATCATCATCATCATCATCATCATCATCATCATCATCATCATCATCATCATCATCATCATCATCATCATCATCATCATCATCATCATCATCATCACCACCACCACCACCATCACCATCACCATCACCATCATCATCATCATCATCATCATCATCATCATCATCATCATCATCGTCGTTGTCGTCATCATCATCATCATCATCAGTATGATCATCATCATCATCAGCAGCATCATCATCAGCATTATCGTCGTCATCATCATCATCATCATCATCGACATCGACATCGTCATCGTCATCGTCATCGCCGTCATCGTCGTCATCGTCATCATCATCACCACCATCATCATCATCAACATCATCATCATCATCATTAGCATCATCATCCTCGTCATCATCCTCGTCATCCTCGTCATCATCATCATCATCATCATCATCATCATCATCATCATCATCATCATCATCATCATCATCATCATCATCATCATCATCATCATCATCCGGAGCGCCCCGGATCGGCGGCACTGGCCGGAGGCCCTTCCAATAATCTCGTCCCCTGTTTTGTTTTTCCTATTTTTGCTCTTTGGCACCGCCTGTACTCCGCACCCTCCGGCCGCCTGAGGCCCCGCCCGCCCACGCCCTGTCTCCCCAATTGGTGCTTCGCGCGCCCCGCCTAGCTCTCAACCGGAAAAGGCCCGCTCTCGACCCGCCGACCAAAAATTGTTCTTCCCATTTTTGAGTACTCCAGATTCCGTAATAAAGGGAGGGGGGTCTCATTTCGGGGGGGGGTCTCTTCCAGGCTATCTTGGAGGGCCTGGGGGGGTCTGGGGACGATGTTTTGGAGGGTTCTCCCACGGGGGGGGGGGTCTGAAATGGCTTGTCTTGGAGGGTCCAGACCCCCTCCCTTTTATTACGAGATCTGGAGTATTCCCCCTCTCGAGGGACAGGCCCGACTCGAACCCAGCACGGCCCCTCGGGCGCCGGCCCTGTGGCCAGCGAGAGCTCGCCTCCGCCGCCGCGGGGGCATCGCCGCCGGCGCCCTCGGCGCGCGGGCGCGGCCGCCGGGCGATGCCCCGCGCGGCCGCCGCGCGGCCGCTGCCGAGAGGGCCGAGGCAGACGAGCTCGGGCAGGAGGACAGGGCGCAGGCGATCCCGACGGCCAAGTCGGGCCGGCCCCCCTACGGGGGGACCTTTTGGGCGAAACATAAAAAGAAAGGGGAAACAAACCTACCTCGCTTTTGACCACCCTCGCTTCCAAGAGATACCAAACGATGCCAAATTGCAGCCTGTACTGGTCAGGCCGCTTGACGAGGAGGCGCGTGGTATGGCTTGGTTTTGCCTGGAAGCGAAAGCGGGGTAAGTAATTCACGCTCTGAAAACATTAGTTAACAAATGCCCTAAACAACCCAAACATGGTCAAAACAATCCTCCCCAGACTATGTCTTGACGATTTTTGAAGATTCTCCTATAGAGGGACAGGCCCAACTTCAGCCGAGGCAGCCGAGGCCGGGCAGGGGAGCAGGGCGCAGGCTTAAGTCAGGCCTGTCCCCCTACAGGGGGAGTTTGGACGAAACATGGAACATAGTAAAAACAAATGCTCTAAAATACCCAAACATGGTCCACAAAATCCTCCCACGACTAATTTTTATTTCTGGAGGCAGACAAGGCCAGGCAGGGGGGGCAAGGCGCAGGTGGTCGCGAGCAGCGGGCACAGCATCCGGGCACGCCCCGCGCGAGGCGCGCGCCAGAGGAAGCGCCCCGCAGCCGCGGGGGGCCCGGCCAATGGGGGCCCTGCCCGCGAGGCCGCGGGTGCGGACCGACCAGCCATGACTGGGGGAGCTGTGGCCCTCACCCCCCTGGGGGAGCCCATCGCATCGACGAGCTCTCGAGAGGGGCGTCGAAATCGATGGGCCCCCAGGGGGTCAGGAAACGCAGCTCCCAGTGATGGCTGGCCTGGCAGACGCTGTGCTGTTCGCCCACGGGGTGAAGGCGCTGCGGCTGCAGGCCCCTCTCTTGGCCGCGCGCACGAGGGGCGGAGGGAGGGGGGGGCAGGGCTTCTCAGAAGGAGGCTGCCTCTCAGAAGGCGCCGGCCTGACATCTACAGAGAAGGCCCGCGCCTTCTAAGAAGCAGGGGTGCTTCTAAGCAGCCCTCCCCCTCCCCCCACCCCCCTCTGCGCGTGTCGGGTCGGGCGAAAGGGGGGGATAGCAAAGGGGGGGCTTGAGAATCAGCTCGCGTATAGCTAATTTTCCCGGCGCCTCCCGGCGCCGGAGGCGGCCATGTATCGAGGGATGGGCTCCTCGGTGGGGCCGAAAACAGCTGCGTGCAGCAGATTTCGTAACTCCCTCTTTCCCGATCCCCCCTTTCTGAAGGGACCCTGGGACACACAAAGAAATACAAACAAACAACAGGATACCCCCATATTTCCAATATTTTCTTGCCTTTTGTCTTCGCCCCCACTCCCCTATTTTCCTATATCTTCCTGGGAATGGACGATTCATTGTGTCCGTGTGTTTTTCCCCCCCTCCTGACTTTCGTCCGGCCCGAGCGTGGCCGACTGTGCTCTTCGCCCCCGGGGCGAAGGCGCTGCGGCTGCGGCCCCTCTCCCTCTCGTATGGGGGGCCCAGAATATACACCACCACCACCTCCCTCACCCCCCTCCCCTCGCTGGAAAGAGGAGAGAAGAGGAATCGACGTGGTGGTGGTATATATTCTTTGGGCCCCCATCTCGCTGGCGGCGGCGGCGCCAGCGAGATCCCCGAGCTCAGCGCGCGCCGAGCCGCGGCCGCGCGGGGCCGTCGGGCACCTCGCCTGCTGGCAGGGCGGGCCCCTGCCCACGAGAGCGCTCGAGCAGGGGGCGCGGCGCCCCGCACCGCTCGGCGGCGGGCGAGGCTCGAAGTCTTCGGGCGTTGGCGTCGTTTCTTGGCGGCCTTCCGCCCGCGGGGAAACGTTCCAGCGGCTGCGCCGCGCCGAGAGCGTTCTGTGGGTGCCCGGATCGTCCCGAAGGGCCACCGGAGAGCCGAGTTACGACCCAGAAACCCACATTCGGTGGCGCGCCCAGGGGGGAAGCGAGAAGGAGACGGCCTTCGCAGAGGGCGGCGGGGCTTTTCAAGAGCCCCCGCGCCTTCCGAAATGATCTCCGCGTCTCTGGAGAGGGGCTCCGAAGAGCTCTCGGAAGGCATGGGGAGCGTCCGAGCCTTCTCTGCCCGGACCTTCCAGAATGCTAAAAAGTAACACTCCAGACCTATAGATCTATCTGGACTGCCTCAACCCTCGACAGGAATCAGGACGTCGACATCCTGGTGCTATTTTTTAGCCCTCCTGGAAGGTCAGGGTGAGAAGGCCCGCCATTTCTCACGTCCCCCCCGGGCGCGCCGCCCGATCGCGTCCATCGGGCTGGGCGAGAGGGGGGGATAGCAAAGGGGTGGTTTGAGAATCTGCTCGCGTCGCTGATTTTCCCGGCGCCCCCGGCGCCAGAGGCGGCCATGTGTCGAGGAATGGGCCCCTCGGTGGGGCCGAAACCGGCTGCGTGCAGCAGATTTCGTAACCCCCCCTTTCCCCATCCCCCCCCTTTCTCGGGCGTTGGCAGAACCGGGTTTAGCGGGACCTGGTTTCAGGATGTGTACTGGGGGACGCCCCTCCGGCCCGTTCCACGAACCGGAACTGCCGTCACCCGAAAACACACACGAGCAACGGCAGACCCGGTTTAGTGATTCTGGCCAGTTTAAGGGCTCCGAGGCCCTACCACTAGTCGGGTCGGGCGAAAGGGGGGGATAGCAAAGGGGGGGGTTGAGAATCAGCTCACGTAGCTGATTTTCCCGGCGCCTCCCGGCGCCGGAGGCGGCTATGTATCGAGGAATGGGCCCCTCGGTGAGGCCGAAACCAGCTGCATGCAGCAAATTTCGTAACCCCCCCTTTCCCAATCCCCCCCTTTCGCCCGACCCGACACTAACCGGATCCCCTTACTGCAGGTCCGTGCCGTGCCGACCCTGGCGTTGGCTCCTGACACCGCGCTGGATCGTTCAACCTTGAACGATCGGCCGCCTCCGCAACGTCCGATCGTTCAACATCGACCGATTCTGGGCCGCCGTCGGCATTCAACGTTGAACGCCGGCGGCGGGGTCGCCGCCGGTCGACACGACGCGAACCTACCGTACCTGGGGTCCTCCCTGTCCCCCCCGTTCGTCCGGCCCGACAGGTCGGTCGTACTTGCGTCCGTCGTGGCGGTCGTCGGCCCCCGACGTCATATGATTGTTTCGTGACGTCGGCCCCCAAGGGTCTCGACTTTTTCCCCGGGACCGGCTTTGCATCCTGACCTGTTTTTTGCTAGGGGGCCACTTGCGAACCCTAGCCCTACCCCCCACGACTTCTGAGGGGGAGGGTGGGGTTCACTTCGCTCGATAGCTCCCGAACGAAGTGAACCCCACCCTCCCCCTCAGAAATCGTGGGGGGTAGGGGTAGGGTTCGCATGTGGCCGCCTAATTGATGGTACCGAGGAGAGGGAAGCGCACCCAGAGGTTGAAAATGGCGAAAGCTTTCCCGTCGTGATTCTTTTCGCAGCGCGAGGGGGCCTGGGAGCACGACAGCAGTTCGTGGGCTCGGCGGACGGCGTCGCCGAGGGGAGCCCTGCGGTTCAGGGGCGCGCCTATGTATACTGGGGTGTTGTTCGCCTGGGCGCCCCAGCGGCGCGGCATTGCCAATTCCGCGCTCTATCCCGGCGGTGGTCGCCGGGAGAGTTGCCGCTACGGCAGGGATGCCTTGTTCACGGCTGTTGGAGGTTTCGTGCTGTGGAGGTTTGGGATCCTGGGTGGCATGCTCGAGGGAACAAGTAGGCGAAGATGAAGAGAAGGACGAGAGCGAGGACCAGAAGGAGGAGGACGAGGAGGAGGAGGAGGAGAAGGACAGGAGGACGACGGCGAGAAAGCGCGCGCGCGCTGCGATCCCAGCAGCTCTGGGCTCGAAGGATGGGGGTGAATGCAAACGGGGGGTCCCCGAGACCCTGGCGCTCCAATTTTGTTCGCTCTGGGCGTGTTCGCCAGATTTCGGGCCCCAGGGCCCTCGCAGCTCAATCTGGCTCGAGCATGATCGACTCACGAGCTAGGGAAGGAATATAGAAATGTAAGGCATGGCAACGCTTCAAACACAGCTGATTGGGTGACGGGCAAATGCAATACTGAGTGTGTCGATCTTGGTGTACCGTGCCGAGGGCTGTCTTGTGCTGCGCCGTGCTGAATTGCGATGTGCCATGCCGAGATTGTGCCCTATAGCGTTGTGGATCGAGTCCTCCTTTGCATCCGAGTCCTGACCGAACTGATCTGGATCTTAAGCTCGAGCTGCCTGGGCAAATAGTAGCTGCCCCAGAGCTAGTTGACAGGGGGACATGCCAGGAGGACGCGCCGCGGAACATACCAAGGGACGCGCCAGGCGACGTGCCAGGGGACGTGCGATGGGGATGCACCGCGGGACGTGCCAAGGGGACGCGCTACGGAACGTGCCAATGGACGTGCCACGGGACGTGGCAGGGGACGCGCCGCGCGACGTGCCAGGGGGACTCGCCACGGGACGCGCCACGGAACGTGCCAGGGAACGTGCCAGGTTGCAATTCTGAGTGTGTCGATCTTGGAGAGAACGCGTTTCACGGGCGCTTGCCTTGGGAACATTCGGCGGCGCGTTTCGAACCGGGGGGGGGGGCCCCCCCCCAACACTCGGCGCCGTCGATCAAACCAGTGGACTCCCCTCCCTCACAACCCCCCCCTCCCGAACCCCCCTCCCCTCAGACCCCCCCCCGCCCCCCCCCGCGGCGCCGGCGCTGGCGGCGGCCAGCAGCGCCGGCGCTGGCGCCGGCGACGGCGGGGACGCAGCGACGATTACTACCACCACAACCACCACTACCACCACCGCCTCAACCCACCACCACCACCACAACCAACAGCACCACACAACCACCACCACCACCACATCCACCACCACAACTCACCATCACCATCACCACCACCACCACCACCACAAAAACCCACCACCACTACCACCACCACCACAATCTACCACATCACCACCACCACCGCCACGACCACCACCACTACCAGCAGCAGAACCCACCGCCACCACCACAAACCACCACACCACCACCACCACTACAATTAACGTCCACAAATCACCGCCACCACCACAACCGACCACCAACACCACCACAAACCACCACCACACCACGACCGCACCACCACAACCACCACCGCACCACCACAACTCACCATCACCACCACCACCACCACAAAAACACACCACCACTACCACCACCACCACAATCTACCACACCACCACCACCACCGCCGCAACCACCACCACTACCAGCAGCACAACCCACCACTACACCACCAGCACCACCTCCACAAACCACCGCCACAACCACAACCCACCACCACCACCACAAACCACCACCACACCACCACCGAACCACCACCACCCCCACCACAACGCACTACCACCACCACCACCACACCACCACCACCACCACACCAAACCACACCACCACCACCACCACCACCACCACCACACCACCAACCACCACCACCACCACCACCACCACCACCACCACCACCACCACCACCACCACCACCACCACCACCACCACCACCCACCGCCACAACCACCACCACAATAAACCACCACACCACCACCACAACCACCACCACCGCCACCACCACCACCACAACCCACCACCACCACCACCAGCACCACCGTCGTCCTGGTCGACGCTCCCCGCCACCACCTGCCTCCGGCGCCGGCCCAGAAATGGAAATCGTCGTCCCCGCCGCCGTTGCCAGCCGTCGCTGACGCAAGCGCAGCGCCGGCCTGAGGAGAGGGGAAGCAGAGGGGGGGAGGGGGTGGAAGGGGGAGGGGTCAGAACCCCCCCCCCTCCCCTCCGTCACGGGAGGGTGGGGGGGTTCGACCCCTCCCCCCCCTCCATCAAAAAGCGGGGGGTTCGAACCCCCCCCCCCTCCATCCAGGGGAGGGCAGGGGTCTGGTTCCAACCCCCCCGTCCAAGCGACCACAGAACGCGCTCTTTCCGATTTTGATGTACAGTGCCGATGGCTGCGCTGTGCTGCGCCGTGCTGAACTGCGATGTGCAATGCCGCGATTGTGCTCGATAGCGTTGTGGATCGAGTCCTCCGTTGCATACGAGTCCTGACCGAACTGATCTGGATCTTAAGTCCACATTGTAGCTGCCCCAGAGCTAGTTGACAAGGGAGCATGCCAGGAAGACGCGCCGCGGAACGTTCCGAGGGACGCGCCAGGCGACGTGCCAAGGGACGTGCCACGGGGACGCACCGCGACACGTAAAAACGCAGGGTGCCAGCTCGGGACGACCATGTTAGATACCCCCCTGGGTGGCCTGGACACGTAAAAACACATGGTTCCAGCTCGGGACAGCCATGTTAGATACTCCCCTGCGTGACCTGGATACGCTGCACTCGCGCTCCCGCTCGAGACATCCTCGCAATGTCTTCCCTGGGGAGGCCCCCAAAGCGCAACCCCCCTGTTCAGAGCAAGAAAACATCACTTTTCTGGAATGGGACATGTGTTCGGGTAGCGCTTTTCGGCCCCCCCGTGCGTTTCCTCATAACTCGGCGTTGGACTCGACGCCATGTTGGATATCCTCCCGGGCGGCCTGGGCACGTAAAACCACGTGGTTCCAGTTCCAGACAATCATGTTAGATACCCGACTGGGTGGCCTGGACACGTAAAAACACATGGTGTCAGCTCTGGGCAACCATTTTAGATATACCCCTGGGTGGCCTAGACATGTAAAACACGGGGTGCCAGCTCGAGACAACCATGTTAGAACCCCCCCTGGGCGGCCTGGACACGTAGAAACGTGGGTGCCAGCTCTGGGCAACCATCTTAGATACATCCCTGGGTGGCCTGGACATGTAAAACACGTGGTGCCAGCTCGGGGCAACCATGTTAGATACCCCCCTGGGTGGCCTGGACACGTAAAAACGCAGGGTGCCAGCTCGGGACAACCATGTTAGAGATACACCCCTGAGTGGCCTGGACACGTTAAAGCATATGGTCCTTGCTCGGGACAGTCATGTTGGATACCCCCCTGGGTGGCCAGGACATGTAAAAGCACATGGTTCCAGCTGTGGACAACCATGTTAGATACCCCCCTGCGTGGCCTGGATACGCTGAATTTGCGCTCCCGCTCGAGACATCCTCGCAATGTCTTCCCTGGAGAGGCCCCCAAAGCGCAACCCCCCTGTTCAGAGCAAGAAAACATCACTTTTCTGGAATGGGACATGTGTTCGGGTAGCGCTTTTCGGCCCCCCCCGTGCGTTTTCTGATAATTCGGCGTTGGGCTCGACGCCATGTTGGATCCCCCTGGGCGGCCTGGGCACGTCGCTCATACCAACGGCGGCCTGGGCACGTAAAAACACGTGGTTCCAGTTCGGGACAATTATGTTAGATACCGACTGGTGGCCTGGACACGTAACAAACACATGGTGCCAACTCTGGGCAACCATGTTAGATACCCCCCTGGGTGGCCTGGACAGTTGAAAACACACGGCTTCAGCGCAAGACCATCATGTTAGATACCCCGCCTGGGTGGCCTGAACATGTTAAAACTCGTGGTTCCAACTCGGGACCAACATGTTAGATACACCCCTGGGTGGGCTCGACACGTGAAAATACATGATTCCAGCTCGGGACCACCATGTTAGATACCCCCCTCATGGCCTGCACACGTAAAAACTCACGGTTCCAGCCCACCCAGGGGGGATATCCAACATGCGGTCGTCTGAAGCGCCAGCGACGGACAACCATGTTGGATACCCCCCTGGCCGACCTGGGCGTGTGAAAACAGACATTTCGCCTGAGACATCCTCTGAATTCTGGCCCCCCACGAAGCCCCGCTCGAGACATCCCCCAACTCTGCAAAACCCGCGTTTCGCTCGAGACATCCTCAACCAATTCTGAAAAGCAAGCGTTTCGCTCGAGACATCCTCAAATACTAATCCGCCGGTCCACCTCGACCTCGATAATTATCCAGAAAAGAACCCGCCGGCCCACCTCAGTCATGGCACTGGGGACAATTTACAAACTAAAAGAGAACCCTGGGCCCACGCCCTTTCCGGGAAAAATGACGCAGAAAGATGGGGTCCGACCTCCAGGGGGTTTTTCACGATGCTGCAACTTTTTCGCAACGTCGGATCGCAGGGGTCAGCCAGGGCGCCTGATCTTGCGGGATCCTGTAAAGCCAGGGTACAGTGACCCGGTCTTGGGGACAGGATCCTGCAGGATCTTCCAGGATATCCTGCAGAATGTGTGACTGATCTGGGTCTGGACTGACCGGGGTCGGTAGATCACCGAGTAGCGGTGGTGGCTCTTGTGGTGCCGAACGCGGGTGGCCTGGCGAGCGCGCCGGCAGCCCGCGGTGCTGCTGTTGGTGCCGTCTCCGCCGCAGCCCCCACCCCCCCGCGGCCTCTGGCCCGGCCGGAGGGAGCCTTGGAGCGCTCGTCGCCGCGCGCAAGGGCCCTGCTGGTGGGGCAGCCGGAGGCGCTGTGGCTCCGACACCAGCGCTGGCCGCGGCTGCCGCTGGCCCGGAGGCCCCTACCACCGGCGGGGCGCTCGCGGCGCCAGCCCCCGCCACGCTGGTCGCGGCGCCCGTGGCGGCAGCAGCGCCCGCCCCAGCTGCGGCGGCCGCGCCTGGTGGCCACACCGCCGCCAGAGGGCCCCAGGTGGCGATGCTCAGATCCTTGCGGTCGTGAGGAATGCACGTGGTGTGCGGCAC